TGGGTAAGTTATACATTCCCTTTTATCCCTCCTTTATGCGAAAATCTGAACATTTGGGATAATGGGGGCTTTGATTTTAGTTCCCTTGGGTTTAGACCGAACCCACTAGTTTATTTAAGATCTTGGGGAGTTAAATCAAGCTTCGAACCTTAATTTTATGAGTTTTGTAGTGATTGAGAATTTTTAGTAACGGTTTGAAAGAACCCTAAGTATAACTTAAGGATTTTAAGATAATGTGGAACATTGATTAGCAAATTTGGTGTGTTGAAATGTGTAATAGGATGGCTAGAGTATGTGGGAATTGTTGATGTTATTAGAAAAGGAATTTGAGTATTTTAAACACTTAGAACCTAGTGAATTCAAAGTTTTCTGGAGTGATAATTGATGATTATCACCTATTGGTGTAGATTGAGCATTGCTCAAGCCATATTGTGCGTATAGAACGTGTAGAGCCAATGTTGAGCTACGGAAACCCTTTTTGTGTGACAAAAGGACTGAGGTAACCATATAGTTTATTGTGTTTATTAACTATTGTAACTGTGTAGAAGTAATTTTAAATAATAAAGTTGTGGTTTTGAAGAGTTTTGTGCATAATTTGACATTGAAAATTATTTTAGCATGAAAAAGTGTTTTGTAAATGGTTATTGTTTCTAATTGAAATATATATACAATGTCTATAAGTGTGATGTGAAAATGTGATGAAAAGTAGTGGAAATTGTGAAAAAGCATGATCATAGGGGGTGGGAGTTCACCCGAGATATGTGAAAACATGTGTGTGTGGAGATATGTGAGTGAAAAATTCATATAGTCAGGCTAACACTATGGGACATTCGGTGCAGCATTATATGGGATTGTTACCATGGGACATCCGAGCAGTTTGGCAACTCCTTAGTACCCGTTAGGGTGCGTTTAGGAGTCAACGATACCTCTATCACAAGTGTGCGAAGAGGGAAAAACCATAGTCTGTAGGCAGGTTAGATTACCTTTAGCCGGGTACTTCTACCACAATGAGTGTGCTCGGGTCAATAAGTGGTTGAACTAGGAGAGTCTATGGCTTCATATTGGGGAGTATTGGAGGTTCAGTGGTTAGATGATCATGCTAGTATAAAGCAATGTGTTTTGTTGAGAAGAGATACATATATCTCATAATTTTTGGTATGCTTGATAATATTATGGTTTTGATACTTTTTCATAATTATTTGTAGTAATAAACATTTGATGAGCTATATTGGTTACTGAGATATTTATCTCACCTCGTGGTTATATTTTACAAGTGAAGGCTCCGATAAGGGCAAGGGGAAGAAAGGGACATTTAAAGAGTGAAGACAATCATTGCATAGCTCTTCTCTTTTCTCTTTTTATGTGTTGTAACGAATATTGCCAACTTAGGAACATGACATTATTTGGGTATTACTTGTATGAATTTGTGATAAGTGTGTATATCTTGGTCCAAGAATGATGATATGGATTAATTATGTGCTTGGCCAAGTTGCTTACAAGTGATTTATATATATATATATATATATATTAAGTGTTTTGAGTGTCAAAATGACAAATTGATTGATGTGTTGGATTTTGTCTACCCCATTATGTTTTTGTCCAATGGGAGTTTGGTGGTCATTTTGAGCGTGATTGCTTAATTGTGTGATGTGAATGGATTGTTATGTGGTGTATGGTCCATTTGAGGTGGTCAAGTTATCTCCGGGGCTAATGGCATTGTGTATTGTGAATTGGACACTATAGTATCTATTTTGTTATGAAAATAAACCATTTTGGGTTTGGGTGTCCATCTTTAAACAGATGATTATTTGAGTGTGAGATCGATGCCATTAGCTAAAGGGCTCAAAGAGCTTTGTGTGGATACTTGAATCGCTCAAATTGAATTTCGGATGGCGAAACGGCATGCTTTGAAAGTTCAGAGAAAACTCATGACAGCAATCTACTGTCATGACAGTAGGTGTACGCTACGACGCATGATTGTTGTGCCACGGCACAAGAGGCCCTCGAGGGATTCATCCTTCTGTGCCATTTGTCACGACGGACGGACCAGATAAGGGCTAAATGACTTGTTTTAGTTCATTTTGAAGTGAATTGATTTCCATGCTTCCAAATTTTCTTTTAATTGATTTTTAACCATGGTTTGAGCTCAAACTATATTTTTTAAAAAAGGAGTTTTCTTGGGATCCTAATGTTTTAACTAATTTTCTTTAAACCCTTGAGTTGTGGTAACTTCTTCTGAGGATTTTATTTAATTTGAGTTATCACAATGATATGTGAGTGTTGTCCTAATAATGTCAAGGCAGACATTACAATTTGGTATCAGTTTCAAGCGTTTCAAGACTGGTATGTGTGGTTGTTGTGTTGGATGGTTTTGCTTGTTGCATTCATGTCTAGAAGTTAGCATATATATATTCGTTACACTTACCTTTCCTTTGCATAGTTCTTTCATTTAACGCTTACTCTTCGTGTGATTACTTCCATCCTTAGGAGGGGAGAGAGGATGGCAAGAAGAAGAACCGCCAGAACGGCTACGGGTGGTAACCCATCTAATAAGGATGTGGTACTAGAGACCAATGAGCTACCACCAGAGAATCATATTTTGATTAGTCAGAACTTGGAACAACTAAGGGATAAGTCGCAGGGTAATGAGGCCTTGCTATTGGAGATAAGAAATTTGATGTAAGAGATACGTAATTTAATGCAGGGACAAGGTGCACTAAGGAATGATAGGGGAAGAGGAGATAGTAGAATAATTGGGAATGAAGAAGAGATGTATAAGTAAGAAGATGAAGTTTATGAAGAGAGCACACCCAAGCAATCTAGAGCTGTAGGTGGCAGTAGTTCACAGAATTTCATGGATCGAGCATGGAAGAGTTTTTCACGATTTCATCTGCCTACCTTTGATAGAATAATAAAGGAGGATGAAGCCAAAGAGTGGATTGAAAGAATTGAGACAATATTTAAAGTGGTGCCATGCTTAGAGGAGCAGAAGGTGACTTTGGCCTCAATGTTGCTTGTAAAAGAGGCTAAATATTGGTGGAAGTCGGTGAGACCAACGAGCAGAATTAAGTGCATAGGGGATGAGTTCAAAGTGAGGTTTTTCAACTTTCACTTCCCAGTGGCCTTTAGAGTAGAAAAAGAGACTGAGTTCCACAAATTTAAGTAACGGAATCTTGATGAAGAAGCTTTCATTGCCAACTTCAATCAATTGTTGAAGTACTCTACCTACCTTATAAGGAATGATGACTCAAAATGGAAGGCTGAGAGGCTACTTGAGAAGATGAGGCCTGAGTACGGATAATAGTTGGCCTTGTTTGAGATCACATCTTATGATGAGATGTGCAATAAGCTGAGAATAGCTGCGAGAAGGGGTAGAGAGGCAGAGACTGAAAAGAGAAGGGATAGTCAGGGTAGATTCTCACAGTCACTTGGCCCTATTGGTGGAGTTAGCAAGAGATTCAGTTTTAGCTCCAGTAGTTCTGGGAGCTTTAGGAAGAAGAAGACCTTTCAAAGAGGATCACAGTCTCGAGGTTCCTTCCAAAGGAGTAGTGGAGTGAGGAATAGAGCCAGTAGTGTACAGCCATCTTAGCAAGCTTCCACGATGCCTGCGCCTACTCTTAGTACAGCCAGAAGCCCTCAGTACTTGAAGTGTGGGAGATATCATGTGGGAAAGTATTGGGTTTACTTCAAGTATGGCAAGTCGAGTCACATAGCCAAATATTGTGAAGAGGGCAGAGCGGGTACCACAGAGTAGAGATCGACTGTTCCTGGGAGAGTATTTATGTTGTCCCAGGAGGAGGCAGGTGCATCTCTAAGTTTAATTAGAGGTAAAATCTCTCTGCACAACTGTGATATAGATGCTTTGTTTGATTCGGGTGCTACCCATTCTTGCATTTCTGATGACTATGTTTTGAGGTTAAAATTATCTGTACATACCTTGCCATATGTGATTAATGTGTCTATGCCGGTAAGAATTTCTGTAGGAACTGACTGTGCTTGTCTGATGTTGATTTGAGATTTAATAATAGATCAACTACTATTAACTTGATCTGTTTGCCCATGATTGGATTGATGTAGTAGTAGGTATGGACTGATTGTCAGCAAATAATACGACACTAGATTGTGCAAGAAAGATAATATCCTTGCTAGTGTACACTGTACCTATAGTGAAATCTAGTCAGTCAAGATTCTTGTATGTAATGTAAGCAGAAAAGTGCATTCAATAGGGTTGTCAGGCATATATGGTGTTCTTTTTCATTCATGCTACTTCTGATAGAGGAATTGAGAGAATTGGAGTGGTGAATGAATTTCTTGAAGTATTTTCAGAAGAACTATTTGGATTACTGCTTGAGCGAGAGGTGAAATTTTCTATTGACCTTATACCTAGAACAGAACCCATATCAAAAGCTCCTTATTAGATGTCCCCATCAGAGTTGGCAGAGTTAAAGAAACAATTGAAGGAATTACTAGAAAAAGGGTTCATAAGACCGAGTGTGTCCCTATGGGGATCATCAGTGTTATTTGTGAAGAAAAAGGATGGTAGTATGAGGCTTTGCATTGACTACAAATAATTGAACAAAGTGACAGTCAAGAACAAGTATCCTTTACCTAAGATTGATGATTTGCTAGATTAGTTAGTTAGAGCTGCGGTGTTCTCAAAGATTGACTTAAGATCAAGCTACCATCAGTTGCGAGTCAGGGTCGAGGATGTACCAAAGACTGCCTTTCACACTAGATACGGTGACTATGAGTCTCTAGTGATGTTGTTTGGATTGACGAATGCCCTGGCAGTGTTTATGGACTATATGAACATAATCTTCTATCCTTATCTGGATAAGTTTGTGGTAGTATTCATTGATGACATTCTAATTTACTCAAGAGATGAGGAAGAACATGTGAAGCATCTTCGTACTGTCCTGTAACTTTTAAAGGATAATAAGTTATATGCCAAACTTAACAAATGTGAGTTTTAGCTAAGGGAAGTGAGATTCCTTAGTTATATGGTGTCGGTAGAAGGAATTGTCGTAGATCCACATAAGGTAGATGCGGTGTTGAAATGGGAATCGCCTACCTCAGTGACAGAGATTAGAAGTTTCTTGGGATTGACAGGCTACTATCAGCGATTTATTCAGAGATGTTCACAAATTGCATCTCCTCTAACTAGGTTAACCCGGAAGGATCAACCGTATGTGTGGACCAATAAGTGTGAGTTGGCATTTCAAGAGTTGAAGAGGAAACTGATGTTTGCTCCAGTACTGGTTATTCCTAATCCTCGATTGCCGTATGTAGTTTACACAGATGCATCGTTGAAAGGTTTAGGGTGCATTTCAATGCAAGATGAGTAAGTTATTGCTTATGCCTCAAGACAATTATGACTGCGTGAGGAGAATTACCCGACCCATGATCTAGAGTTAGCAGCAGTGGTTTTTGCCTTGAAAATTTGGCGATACTATCTCTATGGGTCTATGTTTGAAGTATTTAGTGATCACAAAAGTCTAAAGTACTTAGTGGATCAGAAGGAGTTGAACATGAGGCAACGCATATGAATGGAATTTCTCAAGGACTATAACTTCAAGATCAAGTACCATCTGGGTAAAGCCAACGTAGTGGCAAATGCGTTAAGCAGGAAAACGGTGCATATTGTTCATATGATGATTCAAGAGCATTGATTGCTTAAGACTTTCTTAGATACTCAAAGGAAAGCACCTTAGATGACGTTATACAATGTGCATTCTATAGTCATAACCAATGAATTCTAGAAAGAGTTACAAACTGCTTAGTATAAGGACGAGTATCTACTCGGCATGCATGAGGATATTGAAGAGAGAAGACCCACAGAGTTCGGATTCAATGATGATGGATATGTGACTTATCAAGATCGAATTTGTGAGCCAAGTGATGAGGAGATAAGGAAGACGATCCTAAAGGAAGCACACCGTAGTGAGTATACTATTCACTCTGGTGTCTCCAAGATGTATCAGGATATGAAGCAAATATGGTGGTGGCTAGGAATGAAGAAAGACGTGACAGAGTTTGTGACTAAATATTTAATGTGCCAAAAAGTTAAGATTAAGCATTAAAGACCTGGTGGTGTGTTGCACCCACTAGAGATCCCAGAGTGAAAGTGGGATAGCAAATTAATGGATTTCATCACTGGATTGCCTAGAACTCAAGCGGGCTATGACGCAATATGGGTGATTGTGGATCGGTTGATGAAGTCAGTGCCTTTCTTGGTAGTGAAGACTACCTATTCACTTGAGAAGTATGTCGAGGTCTATGTAAATGAAATAATGAGACTTTATGGGATGCCGAAGGACATTGTCTTTGATTGTGATCTAAGGTTCATATCAAAATTCTGGAGAGCGTTACAGAGAGTATGGGCACTAAGTTGAAATTTAACATGGCATATCATCCACAGACAGATGGCCAAACTGAGAGGACTATCCAAATGCTCGAGGACATGTTGCGAGCTTGTACCTTAAAGTTGAGAGGTAGTTGGGATACACATTTACCATTAGCAAAATTTGCTTACAACAACAGTTTTCATTCTAGCATTGGAATAGCTCTATATGAGGCATTATATGCAAGAAGATGTTGATCACCTCTGTGTTGGACAGAATTGAGCGAGAAAAGTTTGTTGGGTTCAAATTTAGTAGACCAAACCACCCAAAAGATCTAATTGATTAAGTAAAAGTTGTTGACAGCCCAGAGTTAACAAAAGCGCTACACGAATCGACGTAGAAGATTGTTAGAATTTCTGGTTAGTGATCATGTGTTTTTAAGGGTCACGCTAATGACTGGTATTGGGAGATCGATAAAGGCTAAGAAATTGACTCCCAGGTTTATTGGTCCTTTTGAGATTTTAGAGAAGTTAGGACCTGCTGCCTATCAGATTGCCTTACCGCCAAGTTTATCAGGTGTTCATGATGTATTTCATGTGAGTCAGCTCAAGAAATATCAACCCAATCCTTCTCATGTTATTGAGTTGGAAAAGGTGAAACTCTATGAAAATTTGACCTATCGAGCTAAACCAGAGCAGGTTGTAGATGTGAAAGACTGACAATTGAGAAACAAAACCATTCGATTGGTCAAGGTCTTTTGGAAGGGAATGACTCCCGGTGATGCGACTTAAGAGACCGAGGATAAAATGAGGCAGTTATACCCCCAATTATTTACACAGGTATGTGTTTGAGTAAGATTTTGAATTTTGAGGGCAAAATTCCTAAAATGAGGGGAGAATTGTAACATCCTCAGTTCCCTCATTAGTAATTGTTAGTGTTTTCAAGGGGTAATTTGATCAATTTAGATAAATTGTTATTTAGCGAGGTTTATGGAGATTGATATGATTTTTGGATCCTTGGATAGCCTTAGAAGAGGGCTAGGTCGAGGTTGAAGCGGGCCATGGCATAGAAAAAAGTTTAAAACTTTGCAGGGCTTTTTGTGCCATGCGCTGCGATGGGCGAGTCAATGCGCCGCGATGCACAGGCAAAATCAACACTTATCAGATCGCAAAAACAGATCGAAAACAGAAGAGAGAAGAAGGAAAAATGAGAGAGCTACGAAGGAGAGCTTTTAGTCTGCTAAGGCACAATCCCTAGGCTACTTTGAGGGCATTTGGAGCTTGATTCACAGTTAGGTAAGTTGTACATTCCCTTTTCTCCCTCCTTTATGCAAAAATCTAAACATTTAGGGTAATGAGGGCTTTGATTTCAGTTTCCTTGGATTTAGACCTAACTCATTAGTTTATTTAAGATCCTGGGGAGTTAAATCAAGCTTCTAACCTTAATTTTATGAGTTTTATGGTGATTGAGAATTTTTTATAAGGGTTTTGACGAATCCTAAGTATAATTTGAGGACTTTGAGACAACGTGGAACATTGATTAGCGAATTTAGTGTGTTGGAATGTGTAATAGGATTGTTAGAGTGTGTAGGAATGGTTGATGTTGTTAGAAAAGGAATTTGAGTATTTTAATCACTTCGAACCTAGTGAATTCGAAGTTATCCGGAGTGATAATTGACGATTGTCACCTATTGGTGCAGATTGAGCATTGCTCAAGCCATATTGTGCATATAGAATGTGTGGAGCTAATGTTGAGCCACAGTAACCCTTTTTGTATGACAAAAGGGTTGAGGTAACCATGTAGTTTATTGTGTTTATTAACTATTATAACTGTGTAGAAGTAATTTTAAATGATAAGGTTGTGGTTTTGAAGAGTTTTGTGCATAATTTGACATTGTAAATGATTTTAGCATGAAAAAGTGTTTTGCAAATGGTTATTGTTTCTAATTAAAATATATAATACTATGTCTATAAGTATGATGTGAAAATGTGGTGAAAAGTAGTGGAAATTGTGAAAGAGCATGATCATAGAGGGTGGGAGTTCACCCGAGATATGTGAAAATATGTGTGTGTGGAGATATGTGAGTAAAAAATTTATATAGTCAGGTTAACACCATGGGACATTCGGTACAGCATTATATGGGACTATTACCATGAGACATCCGGGCAATCTAGCAATTCCCTATTACCCGATAGGGTGCAGTTAGGAGTCAATGATCCCTTTATCACAAGTGTGTGAAGAGGGAAAAACCATAGTCCGTAGATGGGTTAGATTACCTTTGGCCAGGTACTTCTACCATCAAAAGTGTGTTCGAGTCAACAAGTGGTTGATTCAAGAGAGCCTATGGTTTCATGTCTGGGAGTATTAGAGGTTCGGTGGTTAGATGATCATGCTAATATAAAACTATGTGTTTTATTAAAAAGAGATAAATATATCTCATAATTTTTGGTATGCTTGATAATACTATGGTTTTGATACTTTTTCATAGTTATTTGTAGTAATAAACATTTGATGAGCTATATTGATTATTGAGATGTTTATCTCACCCCATGGTTATATTTTATAAGTGAAGGCTCCGATAGGGGCAAGGGAAAGGAAGGGGCATTTGAAGAGTGAAGACAATCATTGTATAGCTCTTCCCTTTTCTCTTTTTATGTGCTGTAATGAATATTGTCACTAAATATTGTCAACTTAGGAACATTACATTATTTGGGTATTACTTGTATGAATTTGTGATAAGTGTGTATATCTTGGTCTAAGAATGATGATATGGATTAATTGTGTTCTTGGCCAAGTTGCATACAAGTGATTTATATATATATATATATATTAAGTGTTTTGAGTGTCAAAATGACCAATTGATTGATGTGTTGGATTTTGTCCACCCCATTGTGTTTTTGTCCAATGGGGGTTTGATGGTCATTTTGAGCATGATTGCTTAATTGTGTGATGTAAATGGATTGTTATATGGTGTATGGTCCATTTGAGGTGGTCAAGTTGTCTTTAGGGGTAATGGCATTGTGTATTGTGAGTTGGACACCATAGTATGTGTTTTGTTGTGAAAATGAACCATTTTGGGTTTAGGTGTCTATCTTTAAACGGATGATTGTTTGAGTGTGGGATTAGTGCCATTAGCTAGAGGGCTTAAAGAGCTTCGTGTGGACACTTAAATTGCTCAAATTGGATGTCGGATGGCGAAACAGCATGCTCCGGAAGTTCGGAGAAAAGTCATGACAGTAGGTGCATGTCGCGAAGCATGATTGTTGCACCACGGAGCAAGAAGCCCTCGAGAGATTCATCCCTCTGTGCCATCTACCGCGGCCAATAGACCAGATAAGGGCTAAATGACTTGTTTTAGTCTGTTTTAAAATGAATTGATTTCCATGCTTCCGAATTTGCTTTTAATTAATTTTTAACTATGGTTTAAGCTCAAACTATATTTAAAAAAGGAATTTTCTTAGGATCCTAATGTTTTAACCAATTTTCTTTAAACCCTTGAGTTGTGGTAACTTCTTTTGAGGATTTTATTTAATCTGAGTTATCACAATGATGTGTGAGTGTTGCCCTGGTAATGTCAGGGCAGACATTACACATGCAACACCATCACTACTACAAAACAAGCCTTTAAGAGCCCTTATAAAGAAAAGCGCTCCTATAGTTAGATACGGAAGTTAGCGGAGAGCTTTTTTTAAAAAGTGCTCTAATTAAATAGACATATGGGAGTGCTTATTATAAAAGTGCTCTTATATATTGCAATAAAAAAATAAAAAAAATTAAACATGACATATAGGAGCACTTATCGAAAGAGTGCTCCTATATGACATAGTAAATAAAAATAAAAAAAAAATAAAATCAAACAAGATATCAGAGCGCTTATAAAATAAGCACTCTAATTAGTTTACTAATAACAAAAATAAAATTATCCTTTAGGAGTGCTTATTCCCTAAGTGGTCCTAAAGGATGCACTTATAGAAGCGCTTGTAAAATAAGTGTTCTCATAGGTC